AGCTGGCATCTGGCTCCCAGTTTCACTGTCAGGAAGTAGTATAAATAATGAGCAATGCGATGCAACCTGGCCCACCACCTCCTCCCAAAGAAGACAGGCCCTTAGCCACCCAGGCTGCCCATCTTTGGTCTCACTCTCATGATTTTCTATGCTCGGTTAATGAGTTGACTGCTTTGTGGGTCTTTGGGGTGAGCAGGTGGCAGCTTGATTTAGTGCCTACTGACTCAGAGGAGGAAGGCCGTCCTGGCTGGCCTCTGATGGAGGTGGATTTCTGTTTCTTCTCCAGCTATGAGCTGGCTAAGGGAGGGTAGCCAAGCATCTGGAGACCCAGGAGCCCCATCTCTCCTGCTGCTTGGGTGAAAGGCAGAAGGAAGGAATCTGCATTGTGCTTCTCAGCTCTTTGCTGTTGGCCCCTCTATAAGCAAAATGCAGCTAAAAATCATTGGAACTGGTCTGAAATAGGAATTCTACTGGCAGGGTGGGTGTCTAGGAAGGCTGCCTGGCTTACCACTGCTCAAGGAATGTTCCATGCAGGAGGAAGAAGCACTCATATACAGGACAAGGTGAAACAAAGTTCAGACCCAACTGAGCTCAAGTGACATGATGCAGGCTTATAGAAGAAAAGGCACCATGATGGTGTGCTGGGAGATCAAGGGGAGGTGGTCCATGTGGCAGGAGACTGGGTGGAAGTTCCAAAGGGGAGGGCCTGGAAGGTGACATTACATCAAGTCCACTGGAGGCCACTAGAGAGTATTAGAGACTGGAAGTGGTGCCTGGAGACCTCAGAGCTCCTGAGAAGCTTTTTTATTTCTGATTCCATGCTTAGGACTTTATGTTTTATTACAAACATGGTAGGGGAAACTAAAATTGTTTTTTTTTTAAGTTCGTAATGAAGAAAATATACGCTTTAGTAAAATGATGATTTTCCTAGAAATAAATGTTTAATTCCCTGTGATCCTGTGAATGGCTAGCTAGGCAAGGAACTAAAAGTTTCATGGATTAATTTTTTTGGGCAACTGTTTTCTTTGTTTGCATGTTTGATTTTAGATGGAGTATTACCAGGTTGCCCAGGCTGGCTTTCAATTTATGATCCTTCTATCTCAACCTCCCAAGTGCTGGATGTCAGGTGTGTGCCACTACACTTGGCAGCAGTTGCTTTAAGTTCTATCCACAGATGGGAAGACTGAGGCCAAGAAGGACTGAACTTGATCAGACACATATCTGTGCAGGGACACTAACTCCAAAGTCCATTCTCCTAGCCTTGTACTAACTACTCTGCTACTTCCAGAATTCAGATGGAGAGCTTGCCATTAGCAAAAGTTAAAACAGCCAAAGTGACTTTATATCCTTGGATAAAGTTATCTCCCTATTATTTGTAACTTTTCTATTTTTCATCACTTTTTTGCCAAAGTACAAAATATTATAAATTACTAAACAAAACTAAGTCAGACTCAAAAGAGATAAGAGGCACAGTATTAATCTAAAATGACATATGGAGACTGTTGATAAAGGACCACTCAGAATATGGCCCAGAGTCAGTCACTCTGAATAGGAATTTATAAACTGGGACAGGCTCAGTATACTCAGCTACCTAATAGGGGTGTTTACTGATTTGGGGTCCAGCTTAGTGACAGAATGCTTGCCTGGTGTGCATGAGGCCCTGAGTTCGACCAACAGCAAATCTTTGGTCCCAGCTTTGTTGTGAGACTTAAATGAGTCCAGATGTGTGAAACACTTAGCCTAGTGTGCGGGACCTACTAAGGATGCTAGCAAATAGCTCATATTCAATGGAACCATGCCAATATTTTATCCCCAGCAAAGAACAACTTAAGGTTTTAGATAACCAAAACAGCCTAAATCACCCCCAAAAGACAGCAACAGCCCTTTTCTTTTGAAACTTTCATTTAAAATAATTTCAAATGTACAAAAAGTTGCAAAGATCAATGTAGAAGGAACATTTGCTTACCAAATTTTTAACCAAGATTTACTTATCAATAACATTATATTCCTTTGCTTTGTCACTTGAGTTGCAGATCACTACAGATCCTCTTACTTCTTACCACATTGTGGGATTTTAGGCATGAGCCACAATACCTAGATTGTTTATAACTCATGGTTACTCCTTTTTCATTGGGGAGCATCAAATCACCACACATCTATTTACAACTCCATCATCTCCTCATAAGGTTACATTTATATAGACCCCAAATTTGATGATAATGTAGCCAGGAAAACTGCTAAAGCTAAAAATCAAAGATAGCCTTTCTAATTACAAGAGGAAATGCTCAACATTCTTAGCATCAGGTAAGCAAAAATCTATAGTACATTGAGGTGGGTGTGGTGTCACATACCATTAAGCCCAGTGGAGGCAGGTGGATTGCTATGCATTCCAAGCTAGACTGGTCTGTGTACCAAGTTCCAAGCCAGACAGAGGTTCATAGTCTGGCCCTGTCTTAAGCAAATAAAGAGACAGACAGACCAAACAAACAAACAAACAAACAAACAAAACCCAAAAAAACAAACAAACAAACAAACAAAAAAAAACAAAAACCCAACTATCTTGAGATTTTTACCTTACCCTAGTCTGAATGGCTATAGTTAGAAAAATCAGGTAACAAATACAGTAAGTATTCAATGGGGAGGGGCATTATATACTGTAGGTGGGAATGTAAATGTATCCATCTCCTGGGGAAAGTGATATGGAGAGGTTTCAGAAAACTAAAATTAGAATTTATATATCATCCAGTTTTGCACTCCTGTGTTCCTCCCTGAAGGAGCAGAGGCACCACAGGAGAGAGACACCTGCATATCTACGCATTATTCATAGCAGCCAAGTTATAACATCTGCCTGGGTGCCTGTCAATGGTGAATAAATAAGGAAAAGATTGTGTGTGGGAATGTGCACATGCACAGGTGCATAGTAGGTCATTTTTTGGCCACAAGGAAGAACAGAATCATCTTATATAATGAACTGGAGATAATCAGATTAAGAGAGTAATAAGCTAGTTGCAAAATCTTGATGCAAACAGGGAGGGTGCTGGTAGCCCAAAGAGCTGCATGTGACTAGCATGAGCTTGGGCCCATTAGCATCTCCTCATGGGGCAATGTCCAAATTAGTGAAACAACACTTATTAGGGTTAATTATAGAAATATGAGGCAGCTACCTCTCCACGAAGTCCTCTGGGCAACTTCTAGGTAGCTACATTACTAAAGAGTCCCTCCTGTAGCATGGAGGACTTGTGAAAAACTTCCATGTTGGAAATGGTTGTGTTAAATTGAAGAAGACAGGCACACAATGAAGCCAGACACAGAAAATGAGGGTGACATGCTTCCTGTCATATGTGATTCCTAGAGAACACAGAGATGACATGAAAGTAGAAGGAAAAGGAAAGCAGATGGGGGGAAGGGTACTATAGAATTGAAGAATAGCACATGCTTGCATGAAAATGCCATAATGCTACTCAGTATTTTGTACAGTTAATACGGTCTAGACAGCAACAACACACAGAGATGAGAGACTGATCTAGCTTCAGGAAGAAGTAACTTCAAAGGTCCTTTTTGATGGACAAATTTAATCCCTTATAACTGTAGAGCTGAGGTATTCATTTGCTTGTTTACTATCAAATGTGGCTCATGCTCGTGTCCTAGGCGTTATCCACATTTCTTGTACCATGGCTTCATCTATCTTCAAAGCCAGCAGTGAAGAATCTTCCTCATGACAATGTTCCCTCATGCTCTGAAATTCCTCCAGAAGAGCTGTAGCAGCTCAGCAGGTAAGGCCAGCCTTAGCCAGGATCTCTCCCTTCTCAAACAACAGACTTGGGATTTTAATTACATCTGCAAAACTCAAGAACACCTAGATTTGCTTTTGGATAACTGGGGGAATGTATAAACATTTGGTTCATCAGGACAGGGATTTGTGGAGCTACCTCCGCATTCTGTCTGCCTTATACTATGAGACATAGCTATAAATCTATTTTAGAGGCTGGAGAGATGGCCCAGCAGTTAAGGGTGCTTGCAGCTTTTTCAGAGGCTGGGAATTTTGTTCCCAGCAGAACTCACATCGAAGTGTCTGCTTCTAGAGCCATATAGCATACTGAAGACAAGACATTTCAATTAAAGACTTCAAGAAAGGAAATCTTCTCTGGATATTGAGTTTTGCATTATCTTCTTGCGTTGTCTGGACCCTAGCTGTGGAGCAATACAGCTGTAGGTAAATTCTCTGTAATTGGTGAAAATCTACCTAAGGCATGAAGGTGAAAAATAATAACAGAGCTATTATATCTGGGTGGGTGAGATTGCTCAGCGCTTGCCATCAAGCTTGCCACTCTGAATTCTATCTTCCAGTTCCTTTCACAGGCTGGAAGGAGAGAGCCTACTTCTGAAAGCTGCTATTTGGTCACATGAAATCTGTAGTGTGCACATGTACATACACACACCAACGGAGATACACAAATACAGTAAGAAAACCACACCTGAGAAATATTGTTATGGTGGCATGCCCTGTAATCCCTGTACTCAGGATCTGGAAGACAGTTTGTGGCTAGTCTGAGCTGCATGAGAAGAGAAGGGGGTGGGGAAAGAAGGAAAAGGGAAAGGAAGAAAGCAAAGGGGAAGAGAAAAAGCAATCTTTTCTCACTGTGCACTTCAGTAACCTTATGCTGCTCTTGGGGAGTCAAGGCAACACGTGCAGGCCCAGTGGTGGCAGAGGGGGCACCAATCGAGGCCCTAGCCTGGCCTGCTCCGCCCTACTCAGCAGCCCACCTAGGTCTCTGGGTGCCACCAGCTGTGTCTCACCTGGCTCATTAGCTCCTTCTCTGCATCTCACCTGCTTCCTTAGCTCATTCACGCCATCTGTGTAAGACGTAGAACGAGCTGGCCCCACCTGACTGCGTCCTGCATGAAGATGATAAAGAGCATTGGGCCCGAAACTGGGCTGGTTCTAGCAAAGCTCTTCTGACTTGCTTGGACGCTGATCCCTTGCTTGTCTCCAGCTCTATATGGTGGGCTCTCCCCTCATGGAGGAGGAGGACATGTACCTGGACCTTTTCCTGGACCCCTATACCGTTCAGGTGAGCCTGGCAGCCATATTGCTGAGAACCAGCGCCGGGTTTGCCAGTGTTGGCTTTGGGGAGTCACTTTGAAAAACCAAATCTTCCCTAAGAGGCAGGCTCGATCCAGGCCCTTCAGCTGAACTTGGAAGTTCATTGAGGTGACCGGGGTTGTCAATTAGACACCCTAGCCATGAAGTTAGATGGCCTGGTCCTGATGGCAAAGGGACATGCTGCCCGCAGTCACTTCAGGTCCCAGAGCTTCTGCTTTGCTAGATTGAGGCCAGGTTCGGGGCATCTGACTTCTCGAACCCATAGGAAACAATTAGGCTCAAGCTACAGCTTCCACGTAGATGAAACTAACAGGGGCAGTCTGTCACCTATGATTCATTAAGATTGTTTCAATCTCTCTCTCACCTCTCTCTCTGTGTTCCTCCCTCTCTGTCTCCCTCCCTCTCTGTCCCTCTCTCCCTCTCTCCTTTCCTCTCTTTCCTTTTTGAAACAGGTCTCTTTCCGTAGCCTGTGCTGCCCTGGAACTCATTAGGTAGGCTTCCAAATTCGTAGAGATCCACCTGCCTCTGCTTCATGGGTGCTCAGATTAAAGGTATACGCCTGCACTATAGAGGCTAAGGCCAGACCAGGCTACAGTGAGACCCTATCTCCAAAACAAAAGAAATATCCATGTAAAGTATCCTTAATATGTCAATCTCAGTAACCTATTTATCTTTTCTAAATTCACATAATTTTTAAATCTCTCGTTTGATTAGAAAAAAGCAATTCTGAGTCTTTAATGAGTGCTAATAATCAATTAAGACTATGCCCAATATTCACATGCCTATTCTAAAATGTGATTTTTATGGGGCCACAGAGACATGGCTCAGGAGTTAGTAAGTACCAATCTTGCAGACAGCCTGAGTTTAGTACCCAGCACCCATGTCTGAGGCCCATGACATTCTAAGTTCAGCTCCAGAGAGATCTGATGCCTTCTAGATAGCTTAGGCACCTGCACCCAAGTGTACGTATCCCCATATACACAATACACATAATGAAAAAAAATAGTTAAAAAAAATCTTAAAATGTGACTTTAAGATGAAAACAGCATTTAAGTTAACTGACACAATTAACTAATAGAGTACAGCTGCTCTTCAATTTTTATAGGCATCTTGAGTTCAACTATATCTATTACACAGCTGGAGTTAGGGGCAATTCAGCAGGCTTTAGCTGAAGTAGGAAAAACTGCCTTTTTTGTGTTTTAAGATGTAGTTACAAAAGATTTGTCTTTATTTTCTGTGTATGAGTGTTTTGACTACATGTGCACAGCATGTAGGTGCCCAATGAAGGCGTCTATAAGATGATATCAGATCCCCTGAACTGGAGTTACAGATGGTGGAGAGCAGACATGTGGGTGCCAGGACACTGGGTCCTCTAGAATAGCAGTCAATACTCTTAATCCAGCTCTAAGATACACTCTTCAGCATGCTGGAACACTGTAGTAGAATCTTGGTGGTACTTTGTAGGAGCAAGGGTGTGGATTTAAGCAGTCTTGAACAGCATTTCAGATTGAAGCTGTTGGCTTCCTGCCATAGTGGAATCCCATTGGTGTTTTATTTATTTTTTTTTCTTGCTTTGCAAACTGCCTAGGATGACTTTCCTCAAGCTATGTCTCAGCTGTTCAGTCCAAGATCGCCTTTGGATGTGCACCCACTCAATCTGTCCAATCCAGAAACTATGTTTAATTCCCATCTTGGTGGAGTAAAAGAAACACCCAGTGACTTTTCATCTGTGGATCTAAGCTTCCTTCCAGATGAGCTTACTCATGACAGCAAAGACCAGGATGTCACTGGAAACAAGCATGGACCAGAGCAAAGTCAGTTGCAGTTGCCTGGTGGGGAGGATAGTGGGCTAACCTTGAACAGTGGCAGTTCACCAGAATCCCATGCCCATTTTTGCCCTGATGGTGCTGCCTCCAACCAGCCCTTCCCAGAAAAACCAAACTCCGTTGCCTTATCTGTGGCATCTATATTGTCCATGACACCAATGAACCCTGTTTCTGAAAGCTCTGGAATTGTGCCTCAATTGCAGTAAGTGTCCTTGTTTTTAAAGTGAGGGATGCTTCTAGGTGCATAGTTTATATTTTAGAACATTAGAACTAATTTCAGGATAAATGTATAAGGAGGAGAATTTCATATTGCCTTAAGGAATTCCTTAATGGGTCATCACTAATGACAGTCTGGTTACTTATAAAAAAAAAAAAAAAAAAAAAAAAAAAAAAAAAAAAAACACCAGTTCTTGGTTTCCTAAGAGGAGGGTCAAGATTAACAGACACATTCTTGAAAGATTGTATTGTGTATTCCAAAGCATTGAAGTTGTTAACAATGGTAGTTACGGCTGGGTAAACATAAAGGAAATAAAAATTGAGTTTGATTTGCAAACTCCTTTGGATTTGGGGTTTCTGTTTTAGGATAGTGTTTTATTTTTTAATTATAAAATTAAATGTTTTATTATAAAATAAAGTTTAAAATTAAGTTTTAAAACTTTTGTTATGAAATGTAAGACAGTGTGATTTTTAGCAAGGTGTTGGGGTTTATACTTTACTAAGGTCCATCGTACTTTGCATTTCATGGTGAGAATTCTCCCCCCCAGCAAGTTGCTAAGGCAAAGTCTGTGAAATGAGTTAATGAGGTAAGTTAAGTTGGTGTTGAAACTATACCATTATGATCTTTTGGGTTGGCTTGTTTGTTCAGGAATATAGTTGCCACTGCAAACCTGGCTTGTAAGTTGGATCTGAGGAAAATAGCTCTGAATGCAAAAAACACGGAATATAACCCTAAGGTAAGATCCCTCAGTATCCCTTTCAACCTTATAACACTAAGGTAAGATCTTCAGTGTCCCTTCCAACCTTATAATTTTCTTAGTTATTGTTCATTGTATGATTGTGACATTGGCTCATTTCTTTATTTTGGTAAAAATCTTAGTGAAAAGTTTTAACTCAGAAGGTTAGCTATCTTATTTTTCACTTTGAAGTTATACACACATTCATTCTCAGTGCTGAATAAAGCAATAATTGATCAATCCTAAAACTAGAACTTTCTCATCATTCAAAAAGTTTTTTTTTTCATGGTGTTTATTTTCAGGCCAGTGGAACACTAGCTTGAATTATCATCTGTAGGGTGTTTTTGTTGTTGATTTTGTGTGTGTGTGTGTGTGTGTGTGTGTGTGTGTATGTGTGTGTGTGTTTTCAATGCCTCACTATATAGCCCAGGCTAAGTTTGAACTTGGAATCTTCCTGCCTCCTCTCCTAAGAGCCTAGATTGCTGGGATTATATGATGTGTAAACATGTCTGGTTGGAAATTCTATTTTTCTAAATGCTGCCTCACATAGCTGACACTTCTATGTTTTTGAATTGTCAGTTTCTTTTAAACAAACAAACAAACAAACAAAAAAGCTAAATTGTGGTGGTGGTGGTGGCATATACCTTTAATTCCAGCATTTGGGAGGCATCTCTGTGATTTCAAGGCCAGTGGTCTACAGAGTGAGATCCAGGACATCCAGGGCTATACAGAGAAACCCTGTATCATAGCAGAGGGAGTGGGGGAGATTGGGGAGCTGCTAGATTTTTTTATAAGGTTCAAAATTTTGTTTACTCATGGGTGATTCAATGATTCCCCACCTTACGTTGTTCTCACTGTGTAACCAAGCTGGTCTTGTTCTTACAGAGATCGGCCTGCCCATGCCTGCTGACAGCTGTTTAATAAATTATGTTCCTTGTGCCCTCGCCCAGGGCAGATATCTTATCTTCATTGGCGTATTTGCTTAGAGAATTTGCATTTGTTAGCTCCCTCAACAGTTAATAGTTTCTCAAGGTCTGTTTTTGTAGAGGAAGGCAGGGTTTGAGGCTAAGTCCTGTAGTGGGAGTGCAATGAGGAGTAATAATACCTTACTCACACTGGAAAATGGTGCCCTGGATTCAGTGGGAAGATTTGTGGGTCAGATGATAAAAAAATCACAATAGTAAGAGAGACAGTGTGAATCAAGTCTTTTTAGATCAAGTATTTGCATTTGCTAACATCTGAATTTAGTGTTATGCATTATCCAGACACAAAATAGCTTTTCCTTTTATGTCTCACATCCCCTGGCTAGAGTATGGATAGAAGTAACTGGTGAGGCTGGGCATGGTGGTACACACCGTATAATACTAGCATTTGGGAGAATGAGGCAAGTGTATCTCTGTGAGTTTGAGGCCAGCCTCATCTACAAACTGAGTAAGGTAAGCCAGACTTACATAGTGAGATCCTGTCTCAAACCACTCCCCTTCCCACACACATATGAGAGAGAGAGGGGGGGGGGAAAGAAATACAGTTGTGAGGTAGAATTCTTATGGTGGCAGCAATGATAGATTGCAATATTGGAAAAAGATCATTTTATGCATATTTTACCCACCATCTTCAGCTCTCGCTCCTTCTGTGGGAGAGAATGTATAGGATCTGTCTGAAATTTTACTTTACAGACAAATTCTAGGCTGGTGCTTGAGTTATACCTTCAAATTTTAACAAAATCAGGATGAGAAGATAACAATTGCTGGGCAAGGTGGTACATGTTTTTAATCCCAGTTCTTGGGAAGCAGAGGCAGGCAGATCTCTGTGAGTTCAAGGTTAGCCAGGTCTATATAGAGAGTTATAGCCAGAGTCTACATTGCTGGAATAACATAATGAGATCCAGTCTCCAAAACACAAGCAAAAGCAACCAAAGTTGGTGGTGCATTCGTGTCATCCTGGCACTTGAGAAGCTAGGGCAGGATTATGAGTCTGTTTGCATGTATCATCTAGTGAGGATGTGGATATTTCTTTCTTTAATGACTACCAGGGAAAATGATACAGTTTAGTAAGCACATGAAAAGCATTAATGAGGACTTATCCACTCCCTGGTGGTGACTCCAGTTTTTGGCATTTCTGATTCAAATTGCAATTGGTTGCCTGAGCTTGAAGTGAGAGGTGAACCATGATCCTTGGAGTAGTTGCCCCCTACCAAGGGGTTGTTTTGCACAGGGCCCACACAAATTTGATGGGCAAAGGAAAGTTGGAGAAGCATATGTGTAGGACCAATAAGGAAGGGGTCCAGGTCATTTAGTGCCATACCAGTGTGATAGGGTGACTTAAGAGCCTTAGTGTTCTTTAGGGGCTGGGAATGTGCCTTGAAAGGATTATGAAGGCTGGAACTCAATGAAACAGATCCCCCCCCCTTTTTTTTAGCATATCTGTCATGTATACTGTGATCTGTATTTTAGTTGCCATGGCATATTCCAGACTCTTGGCAATAACATACATAATAACATACTTTTCTGTGGTGGGTTGTTGTCTTGAAATGGGATTTAACTATGTAGATTAGGCTGTTCTTATACTTGGAATCCTCCTACCTCAATCTCCCAAGTACTGGAATTATAGGCATGTACCACATTAGGCTCATATATTTTTTGTTTTGAGAGGAGATGAGATCTCATGTATTCCAAACTGGTTTCAAATTTTAAATGCAGCCAAGGATGCTCTTGATCTCCCCCCACCCCCAACCCTGTTTCCACCCCCAGAGAGCTGGGATTCCAGGTGCACCACCACAGCAGGATTATTCCATGCTGGGAGGCAGACACAGGGCTTCACGTGTGCTGGGCTTCATGTGTATGGCTGACACACCCACAGCTTTAGCTCATCATCTGTACTCTTACTCATATTTTCAGAAGGATTCTGTAAGAGAAAAGGAGAGTATGCTGTTGTAAATCTAACTAGCTGTGGTTTTATATTGTGTCTTTACCAAGTTCTGACAATGTTTGAGGTTAAATTCTTTATTTCTTGTTTATTAAATGAGGGCAACAATGGACTTGTTAGTCTTGTTATGTGTATAAATGAGAGAAAATCTACAAGTCCTTAGCATCAGACCTTAAATGCAACAGATACTCTAATTTTAGGTATTAAGTTATAAACATTTTATAATTACAATTTTTGTTACTGTGGGAAAATAGGCCCAGACATTGTTTAGTTTTTCTCTTCCATTTCAGTCTCCTCAAGATTTTCATATATAGCCCAACTTTCTAACTGGGCCACTGTTAACTTCCAGTAGAGACTAATTCTCCCATTGGCTTTGGTGTGCAGAGGTTTGCTGCAGTCATAATGAGGATCCGAGAGCCACGGACGACAGCCCTCTTATTTAGCTCTGGGAAGGTGGTCTGCACAGGAGCTAAAAGGTATGAGAATAAAATTCCCATTCTTACCCCACAGGCATCTCATGTAAGAAAAGACGTATAGCATTTGCGTGAAAACTCACAGTAAGAAAAGCATGTTTTACTCTGTAAAATAGTTACTATAGAGTTAAAAGTTCTTTGTCTTGGCCAGGTGGTAGTGCACACCTTTGATCCTAGCACTAGAGTGACAGTCAGGCAGATCTCTGAGTTCGAGGCCAGCCTGGTCTATAGAGTGAGTTCCAGGACAGGCTCCAAAGCTACAGAGAAACCCTGTTTTGAAAACAAAGTTCTTAGTGTTACATTTAATACTAAACTATATCCCACTCTTTATAGTCCCCAGTGTTATATGTTATATATACACACACATATATGTTATATATAAAATATGTGTTAAAAGCAAATTCATGTATACACACACACACCCACCCCCCCCACACACAATTTTCCTTCTGCAGTCATGACAAGATATCGTAAGCCTAGGGACATTATTGTGGATTTTCTTCATTACAGATAAGAATGTAGAACCTTCTAAATGGGACATTTCTGGAGCATTCACTCGGTGAGGAATCTTTGGAAAGATTTTTCTTTCCTGGATCTCCAACAGAGGAAGTCATGATGTGATATTTTCTCTTTCACCATAGAGCTGATGAAGAGAGCTGGTGCCCTCTGTGTGTTAGATGGACAGCAAGTTCCCTTCTGAGAGGTGATATCAGCTCCAGAGGCCCCAATCATTCATTTCTTCTTACAAACATGGGCTGCCAATATGGTTATTTATATATGCTAAACTTACACTTTTAAAATTATACTTTCATGGTTAGTGAGATCAAACATCTTTTCACCAGCATGTAAAATGCTTATTATATCTTTTGCCCAATATCCTAGAGATATTTGCCTTTTGGTAACAGCCTTTTGTATTTTAAGTATTTTGTAAATTTATGCTGCAAATATTTTTCCAGATTAGTATTTATCATGTTTTAAAGGAGGTTTTAAAAACACAACTTAAAGTTGTTGGCATATAGAAGTTGATTCATTTTCCCTTTATGTTTGTTCATTTGGAATGACATTTCCATTGTAGAACATGATGTAAATATTGACTTCCAATATTTTCCTAGCCTTTTTCATGTCTTATGTTAAATAAGAAAAAATAGAGAAAGGGTAGTGGCTTTTTGATTCATCTAGAGTAGTGGTTCTCAACCTTCCCAATGCTGTGACCCTTTAATGCAATTCCCCATGTTGTGGTGACCCCAACCATAAAATTATTTTCATTGCTACTACTTAACTAATTTAGATACTGTTATGAAATCCTGATGTAAATATTTTTGAGATAGAAGTTTGCCAAAGGGGTCATGAGCCACAGGTTGAGAACTGCTGATCTACAGCATGTCCTGTCTGAAGAGAGTGCCTTGTACCTCTGCTGTCCACTGGGGTAGTCACTAGTTACTGTGACTGTTAGGAATTGAAAATAATTAAATTAATTGGATAAGCAGGTTTATAATTTTTACAGTTAAAGATTTTTTGTTTTTCAAACTACCAATTGGTATCCAAGTAACACTTATTGAAGAATTCGTTCTGGATCCATGCTCTTTATTTTTCACATTGAGTTCTTTGCATGTACCTAAATGAGCCTTTGGGCCTCCTATTCTACTGGTCTGATTCTGGTCCCAGAAATCCCCATTCCTAAGTAATCATAGGACAACTGTGTAAGATATATGTGGGAATGTTCTTTTAGCACAGTTTAAATTTGGAAATCCATAGTAAATATCTAGTAAGAGTGTTTTGATTTAAGTCACAAAGTGAAATTGTGCTATCTATATACACACATTGAGTACTGCCATGGCATGTGATTGGTTGGGGGTGGGGCAGACAAAATTGTAAGTTCATTATCTAACTTTGTGCTCATATCACATACATTGTATCTTTCTGGAATTTGGAAGCCATATTCAGATGGTAATAGTGAGTTCAGATAGATAACAGGTTACCTGAATCTCTTTGGTTCCTGAGTTTTGCATAAGGAGTTTTAAGCCTTTCATTGATACGAGAGACCATTATTATTGTCCAAACTCTATGAAAACCTGTTTTTTATTTTTATTTTTTGTAATGATAAGGTTTAAGGACATAGAGATATGTACAGAAGGCAAAATTTAAATAATTTTTACCACTTGGGATGAAACTTTAGGGTTTTAAATCTATATCTAATGTTTTCACAACGAATATATGTAGACCTTACGCTATGGTTAAAATAGGAACCCATATGTGAAATTTACATCGAAGTAAGCCTTCCTTTACCAAATGCCTTAATTGCATTGCTAATTTGGGATATAGCCTTGCTAAGCCATGTCAGGAGTTAGAAGTGGGTGGGGGAAGCCAAGGATGATTGAAGTAAAGCACATGACCCAATTCACATAAGAGGACAGTGAGGGACCTGGAGACCAGAACCCACACTTCACTTGTCCAGGCAAGCTGAGTCAAAGTGGCTTTCCTTTCAGGAACTGCCGGTTTACAACTTAAAAGATGGGTACACCCCACAAGGAGACCTGTGCTCACAGAATTCTCTCACAGTGCCCCCTGTCCAGCAGCCTCTGCTGCTCACTGTTGTTGGATAGGTGAACAGTGTGAGATGAAAACGGCAAGCACATTTTTTGACACGGATTTAGGGTTGACCATTTGAAGATTGTAGCTGCTAATTTGGAAATTTTGTCCCTCATGCTGAGTATGAGCCTCATAGCAGCTGAGTGAGAAAACTGTGAAAGATTGGGCAAGTTTTACGAAATTTAAATTTAAATTTGTTTTTGACAATTCATCTCTTAACGACCTAAGTCTATGCCTCTGACTTGGTACAGATCTGTCTTCCTTGTGGTTGGTTTTTTTTTTTTTTGCATGTCTTTGTACTTTTCTCCTATACAAATGACTCTCACACTTTTAGAGCAGGGAAGTTCTCAGGCTGTAGTGAGTACCAGAAGCAATTTGCTGGTCACCAGACAAGAGTGTCTGTGTCAGAGGCCACACCTGGGTCATAGCCCATCTAACAAGATTTTAGGTCTTAAGACATACTTGGAGAAACAGTGCAGTACTCAGTTTTTCAAATAACGTTTAAAACAAGTAAAGGTTGCATTATAGTTGAGATGACCAATCAAAGTGATGCGTTTTGGTCAGTTCAACAACTAATTGTTCAATGTCCCAGACATTTAACAAGACACTATGGACAAAGGAATGGGAGGGAGGTCCTTCTCAATGAGTTTCACTTATTTTTATTTTATTTTTGTGATTCTGGGAACCAAACCCAGAGTCTCACATATGTTAGGCAAATGCTCTGTCACTGAGCCACTCCCCAGCCCACAGTCACATAGGTACATTGAAAGATGGGCATAGAATATATAGTAGAGATATAGTCTAAAGCATGGGCTACAAATGCAACACAAATAATAAAAGAGATAGGGAGGGTGAATAAGAAGTCTATTCAACCAGATTTGTTAATAGTGGATGCAGTTAATTAACTAGGTGTGTGGTGATGCATGCCTGTAATCCCAGCACTTGGGAGACTGAAGCAGGAAGATTGCATGAGTTACTACTGGCCTGGCCTATAGAGTCAGACCCTATGTCACAAAACAATAGAGCCGTGTCTTTAATTATGTTTGCATTTCCCCAGTGAAGAGGAGTCTCGACTGGCAGCTAGAAAGTATGCTCGAGTGGTGCAGAAGCTCGGGTTCCCTGTCAAATTCTTCAATTTTAAAATTCAGAACATGGTAGGAAGCTGTGATGTGAAGTTTCCCATCAGACTGGAGACTTTGGCACTAACCCACCGGCAGTTTAGTAGGTATGATGACTTTTGAGCTTAACCTCACACTTGCTAAGCTGTAGAAGTTATAAGATTCGGGCTGTTAGCCATAGAACATTCATGGTACCGGACTAGGCTCTCTACATGTGGGAGACAATTGTGTAGCTGGGTCTGCTTGAAGGACCCCTGACCATAGGACCAGTATCTATCTCTGGTGCTTGTAATAGCTTGTTAGAGTCCATTCCCTAGGGTGGGATGCCATGCTCAGTCTTAATGCAGGGAGGAGGGCCTTGGTTCTGCCTTTACTTAATGGGCCAAGCTTTGTCAGCCTCTTGTGGGAGCCCTTATCCTGGGAGGAGGAGTGGGTGAGGGGGTGCGTAGAGGGGTAAGACAACGGAGGGTGGTAGGAGGGGTGGGGTGGAAAACTGTGGTTGGAAGGCAAAATGAAATTAAAAACCAATAAACTTAAAATTATACAAGATAGCTGTCAGAGAAAGTGACTACTTACCAAAAGATTAGAGGAGGAGGCAGGGTAGATGAATGGATTAAAATGTTGTGCCCCAGTCCTCAAAAGTTATGGCCAGGGTCTTGAAATAGTGATTCTCACAGTGAAATTGCATAGTGATCACTTGGATGACTTCAGCCTACATCTCTGAATGGGCAGCTCCACCAAAAGAGACTTGGCTTCTTGAAATCCTGCAAAGTTTATACCCAACATCGGTGCTGAAGGTCTATTTTCAGGCCCACTAATGGATTAGGTTTGTAAAATTGGCCCAAGTGGGTTTGGAGATGGCAGTAGAAGTTAAGGGGTGAGGCTGACAGCTGGAGGGCGGAGAAAGAATTGGGGAGGAGGAAATATGGCTGTAATATAGCCTCAGAGTATGATCCTGTCTGGTCATGCTTATTTGGGAGGGGTTGTCTTTGTGTAGCTTTAACTGCCACAGCAGTGCTGTGTTTACAGTATTCCTAGCCTAAGGGAACATTCTAGTCTTTTCAGCTTCTTTAACCCTAATTTCCACAGCCAGACTGGCTCCTTGGCCTCATTTCAGCCTTCAGAGAGGACAGCTTGGGCTTCAGAGATCAACACCACACCCTCCACCCTGATGCACATCTGGGTCAAAGCAACTGACCTAGTGTAGAATGGCAGATGCTTTTACACTCTTGGTCAGTTCAGTCTTATTCCAACTTTTTTACCTCCTCTGTGAGTGAACTGTGAGTCTATTCCATCAAGGAGCAGGAAAAGGAGTTTCATTGACTTTCCTTTCAGATCCAAACCTAACCAAAGTTTAAAATGTCTGGACTTTTCTTAACTGTCAAACTATAGTTTATTCCAAGATATAGCTTGAATGATTCTTTCTTCCTCCTCCTGTTTTATTTCCCCTTTTCCACACAATTTACTTATCAAGTGACTGTGATATCTGTCATGTTTTTTATTTTTCAAAAAGTCATTACTGTGGACCTCTTCCTCTCTTCCTTATGCAATATACATCACTTCCGGGTGTGTTTTCTTTATTAACCCGGGGTCATTTATAGACATAGTACATGCTCCACTTAAAATTTGTGAACACATTTTATCATCCAGTTTCTCAAGTCACAAGGCTCTAGTCTCCCTTTTCAGAACACACAAATGAGGTCCACCTCAACTCATAGCACGGCTAAGGTAAACTCCTTGCTTTTCTTTTAGGCCGATTGGGGCTCAACATGTTGTGTGCAATTCCTCTTCCTTGTCCCCTTCCTTTCTCAACAGCATACAGAGAGGATTGAAGTTGATAGTAAAAGTTGCTTGTCACCATTTTCACTTTCTGAAAAGCAAAGCTGGCAGAAGAGCATGATCAGAGTCGGCTGCCTGGCTCTCATCTTCTAGAAGAGGCCCCTACCAGTCTCTAGGTCCTAGTTGGTCAGGGTTATGAGCTCAGTCATTTTTGCTATGTCTGGCTGGAAAGAGTACTTTGTATTCCAAAGACTTTCTCTTTCTGGTCTGGTGCTGACCTCCCTCGGAAGCTCTCTCTCAGGCCCCTATCCACAGGACACAGATCTCAACTGCAGTGTGGGTATTTGTTTTCTTCACATTGGGAGCCTTAAGGATACATCCTTAAGCAGAAAAAGGGATTTGTTTTTAACTTTTTTCAATGCCTATAGTTTTCCCAAAGCATCACACTAATCAGTCATGATCAGGTCATGTGTATCTTATGTTTAAACCTCAAGTTCATCTTTAATTTAGGTCAGAAAATGTGTATTTCAACATCTACTACAGGTGTTCTGGTTTTGTATTTAGTTTTGAAATCAAGTCAGGCTGTGTCATCAGGCTAGTCTCACACTACAGAAACCATCTTGTCTCAGTCTCTTGAACAAGCATGCAGCACCATATCCAGGGTGTTAAACCTGGGGTCTCATGTCTCTTAGGCAATTACTCTACCACTGAGCTACATCACCACTACAGTCTCTCCCTTGCTACCTTCCCTGTCAATCTATGTCACGGTCATCTTTATAGCTTTCTACGAGCATTTCCCCTTCTGTTTTAAACTCAGAAATATGCCTATAATAACTATTTGTTAAGGCTCTAAAATCCAGGTGAGTATTGTGTAGTAGATGAAAGATTCTACTGGACTTCTATGAAGCCTTGCTCCCTTGCCCACATAGAGTTTGTTGACTAAAAACAAACTATCAATGTTAGCCTTGGATTGTGGAAGCCAATGGGACCCTAGCAGGGTGCTCTGTGATATAGATTTGGAGAGTCAGAGAAGTGCTTCTGGAGAGGCGATAACTGGAGATGTACTGGAGATCAATGGGCTCATCAGGTGTTTGCTATTCGCTCTCTAAGATAGTCTCTGTTCTCCGGTTCTCTGGGCTGCAGCCTTCTTTATTTATACTGATGCACAGGATAAGTAATACTTCTCCAATCAGGAGTTCATTACTTAAAAATATGGTTTGGGAAGTGACCTCCATACTCTTCTGGAGTGCCACCTCCTCAATGTGATCACCTTTCTGTTTCCAGTAAGGGCTGCTACAGTTTTATTGGCTGAGGAACTACAGGTATTTAAGGTGTGGTTCATCCTCTATGCATGAAGGTTTGGGGTAGATCTTAGTGTGCTACTTTTCAGATGTCTTGTTTTCCTTCTATCTGTTCTCCATGAGTCATTACTATGAACAGTTGTATTTTCTCACCCTCTTCTTACCTTCCAATTTCTCTGAGGGAGACATCTCAACCATTTCTATGGCTCTATGCCCTTCTCTGGGATGGAATGTGGAGACAGAATTCTTAAGCCCCATCTTTACTTCATGGAGATTCAGCACATATTTTCTAGCAAGTCTGAGTGAATTACTATTTTTAGGAACAAACTGTGAATATTACATGCTTGGCATAATGCAATCTGATTCCTTTGTATAGCAGTTGTCCAAAGACAAGTAGCTGTGGTCTTGAACTACTTTTAGGTTCTATTTGCTAAAGGTGTTTAGCAATTTATAAATTCAAAAGATGTTCTTAATATTGGGAACTTGGAAAATCCAGAAAAAACGTGTTTATGCTGTTACTGGCAAGCTGTAGCTGAGTGGTGAAAGGCAGAAAACATTTAACTAACAACAACTTCAAATACTAAACATGATACTGAAAGTTAAGCTCAATTTCTAACAATCCAACAAATGAGAGAGATGATATAATCAAAAGTTAGCTCTTAAGCTTGGCATGGCCACTGGGTCACAGTGGCTCATGCCTTTAATCCCAAAATCCAGGAGGCAGAGGCAGGTGGGTAGCCTGGTCTGCAAAGTGAGTTCTAGGACAGCCAGGGCTGTTACACAGAAACCCTATGTCAAAAAAATAAAAGCAATAAATAAACAACCACAAAACCAAACAAACAAAAATCCCCAAAACAAAACTAATGAAATCAACCAAACAAAGCTGGGTTTGGTAGTATTTGCCTGAAATTGAACTACTAGCACTCAGGATGCTGAGGCAGGAAGACCACAAACTTAAGGCAGCATATCAAGTGCTGGGCCAGTCTTTAAACATACAGAAATACCCTGTTAATGGAACAAATAAAATTTAATCACTCTTGAGAGGGTCTCACTGTGTAGCCCACACTTTAACTCTCAATCCTCTTTTGGCTTCCCACACACTGGGAATACAGGCTACCAGGCCAGATACAACCAAAAATTTTGTTTTTGGATGTTTAAGTGTCTATGCTCAGGATAAGAGTTATAGCTCCATGTCACAGTACTTGCCTAAAATGTGAGGTTCTGAGTTCAATCCTCAAAAAAAAAAGAAAAAAAAAAAAAACAAACAAAAAAAAAAACCTCTCACTGAAGACAATACTCTGAGTCATTTTTATTAAAGTGGCACCTTTTACAACTGTGATAATGAAGTTTGACATGTGGGCTCTTTAATGTTCTGAGAAAGTAGTGGACATTAGCACAATTTATCACTTTCCATGTCTCAGTAGTTATGAACCTGAGCTGTTTCCTGGCCTTATTTATAAGATGGTGAGACCACAGGTGGTGTTGCTCATCTTTGCATCCGGAAAAGTGGTGTTGACAGGTAAGTTTGAGGTTATATTATCTCATGTTCAAGATGTAAAGTGATGTGTATGCTTTGCTTGTCTTTCTGAATGGATTTTCCTCACTAGCAAGGTAAATTTTGCTGTACTGTGGAAAAGGGGAAATGACCTCATTTAATGATCTCAATTCCTAAAATGATACATTTTCACATCATATTACTTGATGTATGTTCATCTTGCCTTCTTGCTTTACATCAACCATTATCGTGCATGCAGCTTACCTTGTTAGCTTACCTTGCTGCTTTAAACTCTTCAAAGAGTCTTTTGAATAAAGCTTCATAGTGTTCCTGAGGCAGGGATTGGTCCAGATTCTCTGTAAAGGCCAAACTAAATATTTAGATTTTGTGGCCCGAAGAGTCTCTGCTGGAACTGGCTTTGGACTTTGAGTTATGTAACTATGATTATATGACTATAATTTAAGAGTGTCATTACAATAGTGCTCTTTTATTTTCTCCCAATCACTTAAAAATATAAAAGTCATGTTTGGGACATGACTGACACATATAGTCAGTATATTGGCTTTGGCAGCTGCTCTATACTTCCTGAGTCCTCCTGTTCTAACAGGTTATTCAAACTTGTCCTCCTATTGTCAAGATATTTCTATGTTCCTTCATATTTATTTATAAATAGCACACACATTTGACTGTCTTATTTGTGCACACTTATTAGTGCAAGTGCTCAGAAGTCAAACTTTTGTTTAAATATATTTCTGTTTTCAATGTTATTAGCATAAATTTCCAAGTTCTTTTAAAGGCATCTATAGTATAGTCTCCTATAGAAAACCTTCCTTCCAATAGTGTATCTAAATATCCTTTGACCAGCAGAAGGCTGGGTATGGTGGTACTAACGTTTGGTGTGCAGGCAAATCTCTGAGAAAAGAGGTTAGCCTAGTCTGCATAGTTCCAGACCACCAACCACAGTTACATAGCAAGGGACACCCCCACACCCCACCACACATACACACACAACTTAGCTAGTTCAAGTCATTGTATTGCTGGTTTGTGTGTCACCTGGCTAAAATATGGAGATGTATTCATAAATCTGATGTCCAAATGATGGATCCTTAATTTTTGGTATCTACAAGGTGCATGTACTGTTGTTAGTATGCCAGTACCTATCTGGCAGCAATCCAGCCCTGAGGAGACAGATGGTGGAGTTATATGTTGCACTGCAACTCACTGAATCAGAAGATAACCCATATGCACTTAGACCAACTATCCAGTGTCCCAGATCTTACCATATATTCTTCAAAGACAATAAAGTATCCTAGGTTTCTGTGAAATGCTATGGTTTTCAAAGGACTTCGCACAATGTTAGTGCACATAACCCCCTCCCTACTCTGTGATAAGGGTTTCTGTCTTTCTGGTAAGGAACCTGAAACTTGGAGGTCAGACTAGATGCTTATGATTAGTTAATGGTACAGCTGCCATTTGGGCTCTTACTCAGTTTCAAGCTGGTCCTTTCTCATTATATCAGGCCAGATTTTGCTACCAGGGTTAGGAATTGTGTGTATCCCAAAGGGACAGTCATTGCAGCACACAGAAAAGGTGTGGTAAGTTTTCATCAATATGCTGGGGTCACCCAGTTGGTGCTGCTGCTGCTATAAGGTAGGGGTTTTCATTATTGATAATTAGACTATGAGACTAATTAAGTTTCCCTTTAATGATCATACTTTAGGGAAGAAATGTCAGATGAGGTCTGGGACACAGTAGAGGGAAAAGGGTTTTTTAAGAATGTAAAAGACCCTGGGTTTGATCCCCAACACTAGATCTAGTACTGACTGGACAAACTCTTGTTTTACATGTAAATGAGCACAGGTGGTATTCGGTTAGTGGCTTCTGGTGTAAAGGAAGGAACACTGGCTACATGTCTCCTTCCTTGCTGCTTTATGATTTGGGTAACTTCAATTTTGGGGGCCTCACTTCATTTGTGAAATGAGGGAACTCTACACTCTATGGTATCAGAATTGTTGCTAACATAAAATACTGGCTGCATTTCTGCTTCCCAGGGGGTCTCCAGGTGGTATGTTCTTCATGTTTGAATGCAGTATTCATAGGTACATAGACAGTATTTTATAGGAAGCCTTATGGAAAAATAAAATCAGTGTTTATTCCAAATACTGGACCTGGATGCCCCGTTCCTCAAGGAACTGTAAAAAGAATGTCTACCCTGGGGTGTTCTGTGGTGTGCATGTTTGCCTCACCTATCACATGCCACTCTCTGATGGCAAGAAGCCTATTCCAGATACAGGTGGCAAGTTCCTCGTGGATAGCCTTGTACTTTTGGTGTCCCCATCTCACAGTTTTGTTTACAGAAAACTGATCTCTTTGGAAAAGAAAACTTTAACATTCCAATGCTGATTTGAGGGATTTCCCACCCCAAAGGTGCAGAGTTTCTCTTACCTGTTAGTAACTCACCTTCTTCCTCCACCTTCCATTTTTCAGGATGCAGACCTACAAATTCAAACCCCTTAGCAAGGAATAAATATAATTTTGCCATTAGAAGCCAACAAATAAAGTAGGCTTGCAAGAACTTCCTCTTTAATGTTTTTTAATGGAATTTATCTAACAAACTTAGTCACCCCAAAATGGGCATTTAATACATTTAGTGTTCTGCAATGCAATGTGTCTATACCACTACCTCCAGTTCTAAAACATTGCATGGCTCCAAATAAGTCTCCATATCATTGAATAGTTTTCCATGTTCTCCAGCAGCCACTAGTGTCTGTGGTCTTCATGGACTTATCTATTTTGGATGTTTCATGTAAATGTAATCATGCCTACCTTTTTGGTGTGTGTGTGTGTGTGTGTGTGTGCGCGCGCGCGCGTGCGCTCGAGCGCCTGGATTTGTTTCTACTGTTTTTGGTCAAGCACTAATCTATTGTGAACATACATTGAGATTTTTATTCATCGATGGCTACAGAGGTTGCTTCTCTTTTTGTTGTTATTACTGTTGTCGCAATTCCAGTCTTCACTGTATTTCTGCTTTTGGTTTTGTTGAGGGGTTTACTTGAGTGGAATTGCTGGGTTGTGTGCCCATCCCTTAACTTTGAGGAACACTGGGGGCTGAACCCAGTTTAAAGTCCCTCTAGAAGTATAGCGGTTGCTGAACTTCCATGCCCTGACTGTCAGTTGGTTTTATTTAATAAAAGCATTACAGCACATCCCTAATCTGAATTCTAGTTGATCTTCTTTTTGGATCTTCTCCCTCATTGGGCCTGGAGCTAAGCCAGATAATCACTCTCAGATTTCCTTCTTTCTTTCTTGCAAGCTCTGCATCCCTGAAGGAAGGGTCCTAGGACTCCAGATATTCCAAGTTATTAACATACTAATAGGTTGTTGCTTTGTTAGTTTTTGAAATGGGGTCAGATGTGTAGCTCAGGAAAGCCTTGAACTTATGATTCTCCTGTTTCAGCCTCCCAAGTGATAGGTTATAGGCATGTATCACCACACCTGGTGCTAACCATTTTTATTGTTTCTTTCATTAACCTCCTTTCTTTGTTTTCTGCCCACAGATATGTCAGATAAGAATTCCTGTTTAGCTCAAGCCCCAAACACACATAAGAACCAGTCCATAACATTCATTGGGTTGTCCCTTACCAACTTTTCAAGGTGAAGAGTGTAGTGATTGATGGTTGTTGGTGAGAGACAAGTGGGAACTGACTGATATTTCTCCAGGGAAGAATGCCTAATCTGTTTTTAGTGCTCTAAGTTCATGTCAGTCACATCATAGTTAACAGTTGCTGACACCTAAGCATGAAAATGGAATAAAATTTACCTCTAATTACATCCTATTTGTCAAAATTGGAAGCTCTTTGATTGACTCCAGCTTGTCTGATGCTATGAAAACAAGACACTAGCCAGAAATGAGTAGTTCTAAGGAAGTCATTTTTGCTAGTAGCTAAGTTCACAGGTGCTGTTGTATGTCATGTTGTAGCACACTTTCAGAACATTCCATCTTTTTACTGTGCCTTGTATGACTGAAGACAACATCCACAGAGAGGAAATGCTAAGGGAATCTCTGCCCTATGAAATGTGTTTTGGGAAGACTATGGTTATAGTGCCCTTTACTGTGAACAACTGGAGGTGTCTTGTAGAAACCATCACAAAACTCCACATCCTTGTAATCCCAGCACTGGGAAGGCAGACACAGATGGATTTATTCTGAGTTCATGCTAGGTTGTTTAGCTAGAGACCATGTCCCAAAATAAACAGTAATTGAACATGGTAAAATGAAAATTTCAGCATTAAAAATGTTTTTGTTGTTGTTGTTATGTAAAAGTTTATATACACTTGGATTTCTTTATAGGTGCCAAAGAGCGTTCTGAGATCTACGAAGCATTTGAAAACATGTATCCTATTCTAGAAAGTTATAAGAAAACCTGAGTATATCATTGGGCTTTTCATATTGTAGTGATTTCGATGTATGCTTAAGCACAGCAGAGAAAGAGTGTGTTTCATCTACACATGGCTGTAGAAGTCGCCCATGCTATCTAGCAGTCCCTGTTATTATGCTAATAGGATTGTATTTCTTGTTTGATTTTTGCCTTAATTTGGAAACAGGGTCTGCTCTGTAGCCCAAAATGCAGTTTGATTTATTACAAGGTGATTCTGTGTGAGTAACCATGATTAAGAAATGAAAATTTCTTTCTCAAAAATGACTCTTGTATGTTATCTAATTATTAAAAGCAAGAACAAGTAAACATTTCAGGCCTTGCTAGACTGAGACAGCAAGTGCATGCTTTATTATTAAATATGCAATGTATAAAATGTGTTATCTGAAGACAGTGATATATCTGGATACTATCTGTAATATTACAGCATTCAACAGTCTTGTTTAGTTTTTTGTTGTTGTTCTTCCATTTGAAGTATAGAAGAGATGGAATCCAGAACCTTTGGTGACAGATGCTGTGAAAATTGCCTTGGGAGAGCCAATGAAATATCCCACACTTTAAAATCCTTTGTTGGCAATGACCATATGAAATTGTTCTTTAGTTACCACCAGCCTCAGTTATTCTGTTATTGTGCTAATAGCATTGTTTTTTTGCTTGTTTGTTTGTTCAGGAATCATTCTGGTTTAGGAAAATCTATTTGAAAAACAATAGAGAGAATTTGGGCTTTTTTGATTACTTTTCTAACACTACCTGATTGTATTTAAACAGACCCTGGAGAAGGAGCAAAGGAATCAGGCCAAGGATCTAGCTAGGTCACCAGCATTTGATGATGGGTACAGGATGATTGTCAGGAACCTGCTCTTGTGATCCAGGCTCTAGACCACACATGGCTACTGATATTGTCCTTTCTAAGGCAGACAAGTCTTAAGTAGAATACATGGAAAATGTCATTTGGCTCCTAGGAGGAAGCTCTGGGTGATGGTGTGTTTGGTTTGGGGCAGACATTCAGAGCTTTCATCAGTGGACAGCCTGCTGAAAGCCATCCTTGAGAATCACTAATCCAAGTGAACCTACAGCTCCATTTCTCTGGTCTCTACTGTGGTTTAGAAGCACATTCAACAATCTGATATAAATCCACTCTCTCTAAAGAAACTTAGAGGAGTCAAGTCTCTTAACTATGGCACAGGGGGTAGGGAAGGACAAAGGCCACTAGAACTCAGATTTCTGGCTTTGCTGGTGGTACATGCCTATAATCCCTTTGCCTAGTAGGCTGCCACAGCAGGTTTAGGACTGTAGGTCAGCACAGGCCACATAGAAGGCACTATCCATTAAAACCAGTTTTCAAAAATCTACAACTTTGATTAGCACCTCCGGTATGTTGTTTACTGACTTGCTGGTAAAGTATTAGGCTGCTATAGGTTTTTGTATTAACCCTTTGAACATTATGAGCTACTGCAGTCATGTCCACAACTGGGTGAAAATCAGGCAGAGGTTAAGGGGTTTTCTCCAAATCCCACAGCAATTAAGGAGGAAGATGAGCCAAACTTCACACTAGTCCTGGGATGGAACTCCCAACTTTGCTTCCTTCAATTTTAACTAAACTCACAGTATCTTTAGTAAACAAAATGAATTGCTCCATTCCACACCTTATGCAGACAATAGAATTCTTGAAACACCCTATTACTATGTTTTGAAAAACAGAGTCCTCCACATGGCTCAGCAGGTGTTACAGCCCTGCCTCTGGAAGGCACTGAGTAGGACCCTGGGTGCCCAGAATCCCTGCCCATGCTTTTATAATAAACCCAGACCCAGGCCCCTCACCAGGCCTCTTTAATTCTGTCATGTCCTTTGAACCACTTCTCCCATAGCCCACTACCACATCTGTTTGCCAGTGAGCCCGACTTCCTAAGTTTCATAGGCCCCATATATTAGAGAGAAAGGACACCTTCTTTTGTTCTCTGACCTTCACATAACATACAGTGGAATACCCTCCCTAGCCCTCACATATAGTTAATGAATTTATCAAAGGGCCCCGGCACAAAATTGTGCTGACTACAGCCCTGTGCTATGTGTAAAGGTTCCAAGTCAACAAATGAAAAACTAAAGGTGGCTAGGCGTTGGTGTTGTACACCTTTAATCCCAACACTCAGGAGGCAGAGGCAGGTGGATCTCTTGGAGATAGGGGCCAGCCTGATCTACAGAGCTAGTTCCAGGACAGGATCCAAAACAATACAGAGAAACCCTGTCTCGAAAAACAAAACAAAAACAAAACTAAAGGTGGTGTTTGGGTGACCTCTTCTGGCAAATGGGTCTTCATGAATCCCCCCCCCCCCAGGAGATGAAGAACATAACAGACTGGGCAGGCCATCTGCCTTCTGTCATTTGCATCAAATGTCATTGGTCACTTTATCTGGTAACCCACAAGATAGGCTCCTGTCTTAGTTAGGGTTTCTGCTGCTGTGAAGAGACACCATGACCATGGTAACTGTTTTAAAGGAAAACATTTAATTGGCAGGACATGATGGCATGCAGGTAGACTTGTGCTGGAGAAGGAGCTGAGAGTTCTATATCTTTTGATCCATGGGTAGCAGAAGTTTTTCTGTTTTTCTGGGCATGGCTTGAGCATATATGAGACCTCAATGCCTGCCCCCACAGTGCACAGTTCCTCCCAACAAGGCCACACCTACTCCAACAAAGCCACACTTCTTAATAGTGCTACTCCTGTGGGGAGCATTTTCTATCAAACCAGCACAGCTCTACTGTTTCCGTATGCTTCTCTCCTGCCATTTGGAATTTGAAGACCATGATAAAAGAGCATTATATTCACAACCTTAGCTATGTCTGAGGTAGCCCTGGGTTACCAGAATGTCCTATGTTTTAAATGGATGGTGCAATCCTGAGAATCATTGTTAGGTTTCCTAGCTTCCATGTACATTACATATATTCTGCACAGGAAATACCAACAGTAAACAGCAAAGAGGTTATGGCAAGACTTTGTGCAAGAAGAGCTATGATTATAAGGGAGCAGGATAGGGGGTAGGATGGAGGCTGGAAAGATCTCGGCAGTTAAGAGCACAGGATATTCTTCCAGAGGTCCTGGTTTGCTTCTCAGTACCCACAGAGAGGCCCCAGAGAGGCTGACAGCCACCTGTAATTCCAGTTCCAGGTATTCAGCGCCCTCTTCTGGTCTCCACAAATATAAGCAGGCAAAACATCCATAGACGTAAAATGAAATGGAGGTGGAATACTCAGATGGGGTATAGGTCCTAATTTCAACCAAGGCCCTCAAGGCATTTCCTAGTCAAAATCTCCAGATGTGCTTCTACCCTAGTAGAGGCCCAGGACATCTGTAGCCAGTTAGAATAACCTGTAACCTGATACCACAGACATACCCTCATTACATAACAAGAATTGCTTCCTGGGAAAAGGCACCAGGAAGTTGTTCACCCTAACCTAAAGAGGACTCCCTCTCCTTCTCCTCCTCTTCCTCCTTCCCATTATTCCTCTTCTTTTCCCTCTTATTATTGAAAATATTATTTTCTCAAATAATGTATTCTGATTATGGTTTCCCTCATTTTACTCCTTCCAGTTACTCTCCATCTCTCACTCCATCCAGATCTATTCCTCTTCCCTCTCTATTTAGAAAGTAACAGGCTTCTAAGGGATAATAAAATGCAACAACATATAAGACAAAAACTATCAGTGGAGTTGGACAAGACAACAGAAGGAGCCCAAGGGAAGGCACAAGAATCAAGAGACCCACTTATTTGCTCACTTGGGAATCCCATAAAAACACTAAACTGAAGCCATCACACACACACACACACACACACACACACACACGTATGTGTATATATTTATGTATGCATACATACAGAGGACTTGGTGCAGACCTGTGCAGGTCTTGTGCACCTATGAGTTCATGTGAGCTTATGTTCATTTAGAGGGCTTTGTTTTCTTGCTGTCTTCCATCCTCTCTGAGGGGGCTCCCTGAGTTCTAAGGGGAAGGATATGATGGATTCATCCTACCTAGTGTTCCAAGGTTTCTGACTCTCTGTATAATATCTGACTGGGAGTATCTATGAATCTACTGAAGGGGAGAAACTGCTTTGATGATAGCTGAACAAGACACTTGATCTGTGAGTATAGAAGAACGTCATTAGGAGTCATTTCACCACTACAATGTTTTCCTCTTTGTTTTTTAGTATTTGGTTTTCTGCTTGGTTCCTGGACTATATACTTTTAGGTTCTTGTTTATCGAAGCAATGTCAGGTATGAGTTTCACCTTGTGGAGGAGTGGCCCTTAAGTCAAATAAGACACTGGTTGGTTATTCCCACAAACTTTGAGCCACCATTGTCCTAGCATATCTTGCAGGCTGGATACCATTGCAGATTAAAGGGTTTGTGGCTAGCTTGGTGATTATGTTTTTCTTTTGAGAGAGTGCAGAATGCTGTCCTGTACCAAAGACACTGGAATGTAGGGGTGAAGGCTCTATATAAGCACTAATTGGATTTCTCCATGTGCACTGATTTGAACAGGTGTTGTCTTTAGCAATGGGGCCTTGCTGCCAGCTCATGGAGCATAGCCTATAGTATTGATACCAGCCTGGGTTGTTTGGGGAGTCCCATGGGACCCTTGTGGCCAACAACTTAATTGGATATAACCCAGTCCCAATACAGGAGGCTTAATTTAGAGACAAGAGATGACCAGTTGAAATTCTGTCTCCCTAAATATTTGATAATTTCATTTAGATTGCCTCTTACATATTATATAAATTATATAATAATTAATTTCAGCTGTCTCTCTTCATATTCCTTCCCTTATCCTCATCCCCTCTTTACTTGATTCTCCTGTTCCAGCCCCCCATCCATCCATAAGTATCTGTTTTATTTCCCTTTTCTAATGAGATCTGTCTCTTCTTTCTGGTTGCTTATTCTATACCTACCCTCTGGGGTACTGTGAAATATAGGTTATCACTGACTTAATAGTTA